AAACGGCAACAATAGGAAATGGAATGTTGCAAGCTCTTAGCAGCTCGGCAATTACGTCTGAACGGACGAGTGCCTGGAGGTTTGTTTTGAGGCGTGGCACAAGTAACAATACTCTTGATTTGTACGCTTTGTTTAGAAAAAAAAAAAAAAGAAAAACTGTGAAAGGGACACAGGCGTGGCAAAGAAGGGTCTTTCATCAACAGGTTCACACCGCCCAAAGTCCGTACCAGCCAGAGCTGGGCTGGACAGAAGGTAGAAGCAGCAGCTGGGTCTCCCACGTGGGTGGCAGGGGCCCAGGGCTTGGACCTTTACCTGCTGCCTTCCCCAGAGCGGGCCATCATAGATGCTGGAATTGGAGGCGGGGCTTAGAGCAGGTGCTGGGACAAGCCACACTGAACTACTGCTATTGCTCTGTATTTCCCCAGGAGAGAAGTGCCGGATCCCACACTGCCAAGTTGTACAGCAACATGCAGAGCCTGTGCATTGGGGGGAACGACCCAGGGCAGGCTTCACCCCAGCAATGGGGCTCAAAAGTGTGCAGGGAGAGAGGTGGCAGAGATGGTGTGGGAGGGATGGAGCCTGTAGCTTTGCCAGTGGGAGATGCCCGCGGCAGCCCACCAGCAAGGTGGGATTCTCCCTGGGAAGAGATGCGGGGTGAGCAAGAACCAGCTGGAAATACTTATTTCCCTCTTTATTTACTGTTTAAAAGGAGAGAGAGGGAGCAAGCACCACACCTATCAAGAAAATAAATTGGCCCTGGTGCCCACTTTGCTGCGGCGGCGGGGGGTGGGGAGGGGCGGTCCCTGGCTTGACGTGGCTAAAGGGAGGCTTCCTGCTGGTATGCCTGTGTAGGCACGGGGGAACATGTGTGGTGGTGGTGGGGGAACCACACCCATCAGCTGGAAGAAACGCAAACCCAACTGGCTCCCCAATCCTCATGGGGTTCTCCAGTCCCCGCCCCCCCCCCCCCCCCCCCCCCCTGTGTCCACACCAGACCAGAGGGATTTTGAAATTGGCTGTTAGTTTACAAGGCAAAAGGATTTGGGGTTTCCTCTGTCACTCTGCTGGACGGACCCTCTTTAAGAGAGGGACCCTTACAAGAAAGCAGGGGTCCTTCTGAAGCTGCAGGCCCCACCCCCATAGCAGGTGCCCCGGGGGCGGGGTCGTGGTTTTGACTGACCTGTCTTGACCTCAGGCCTGCAGACTCTTAACGCGGAGCTTGTCCCATTTTTCAGATGGAACCACCAAGGTGCTTCCGAAAAGAATGGACAACCAAAGAGCCCAGGTTCTCTATGCTCTGAATATGTGGTTTGTACAGCCAGAAATTCCTTTCGCAAACTTATCCAAGACGGATGAGCATCATCACCCCCATCTCCCAGGAGAAAGGTTACATAGTATTGCATTCAATTCTGGGGGCCTGGGGACAGGGGTGTATAACCCCACGCCTTCTCTTCCCAAAGACTGCTGGCCTGGTGGTCCCCCAGAGGCATGGGAGGGGTGGTAGTTGCTGGAGGTGGGGTGGGGGAGCAGTGATTGGGTGTTTCCAGGTTGCCAAGGGGCATGTAGAGCCTGGTGTTGCTAGGGGTGGGGGTGGGGAGAATAGAGAGCTGGGAATCCCGCACCTGGTGTTAAGTGGAAGCACTGGGGCAAACCCTCTGTCTGTTTGTTGGGGTTCAGCAAAAAGTGCTCAAGTCCGGCCCCTTTCTTTCCAGAACACTCCCCTGGCCTGGTCCAGTGGACCTCAGATTCTCCCCCCACCTTCTCTCCCCACCCCCCCCAGCTCCATCTCAGGCCTGGCTTCAGGCAGCCCGGTTTAACAGTACACAAATTCCATTTGTTTGCCTCTTCTCCAGCAGCGTTTTAAGCTCAGACTAGCTCCAGGCGCCTGGCTTGCAGTTTAGTTTCACTTTAGCAAGGAGATGGCTTTCCCTCCCCTGCTTGCCTCTGTCTCTCCTTCCCCTCTCTTAGTTCCTTCCACTTCACCAACTGAGGGTCTTCTGATTTTTGTCCCTTCTTATTTAAACTCACTGGCGAGGGGCTAACGACCCCATCTCCTTATCCTCCACACCTGGCTTGTAAAAGCAAGAAATAAAAAACAAAAGACAAACAAAATCACAGCCTACCAAGCGCGTCTGTACACACGCGACTTGGAGGTGGTGCGCATTTTACAATTTGCACACACTGCGCTGCCGGGGCGGGTGGGGGAGGAGGGACCGGAGCGCCTGTGGACCAAGGCAGACATGTCCCTAGCAGAGGCAAGACGCTAAGGGGGGAAAAATTAAAAAAAAAAAAAAAAATTAAACAGAAAACACCAGAAAGACTGATTAAAAAAAAAAAAGTGACGAGTCCTGTTCCAACGACGCCCGTGAGTTCGAGTGCGCGACGATTCCGAAGACCCGCTGGGAGTCAGTCCACTGCGAGCAGATGCCAAATGCCAAGGTGCGGGCCAGGTGGTCGCTCTCCGCCCCAGTCCTGAGCTTCCCAGGGCTGCCCTCTACCTGGTTTCGGAGCTGAAGAACGGACACTGCTTTTGCTTAGATCAAGAAATCAAAAGCTCCACCGTGGGGAGGGGGGGGGGTGAGTACCACGCACGGAGCAATAGCTGAGACTCTGCAAAAGAGGAGACGCCACGCGGGACGCTAAAGGGGGAGACGCCGACGGAGGGTGGTCTGTGAGACCCCGCGTCCCAGGGTCGCCTTCCAGAGACGCCTGCGCCTGCGGGACGGGTTTCTCGTGGTTTCTTTGGAGGGCTCTGCAAGCCGCCCGTAGGGGAGAGGCCCTCACCCTGGGAACCCAGCGCCTGGGCTTCCCTGTTGGGAAGAACGTGCAGGCGCGGGCTAAGGGCGCTTCCTGCGGCTCCGGGTCATCCTTTAACTGTCCTTGCCTGGTTGGCTTCCAGCCGGCGAAGGAACGTTAGAATCTCGGTAGTGGCTCGCAGCTAAACGTAGTGTGGGGTCACTACGTGGCCGGAGCGCCGCGAGATTCCGTTTCCTAGTGTCTCTTCAACCGACTGTCCCAGAGGCCTTGGTTTTTTGTGAAGTGCAACTCGACCAGCCAGTGAGAGACTTTACTCCCAGGCAGAAGGCAGCATCGAAGGAGAAAAAAAAAATTGCTTCTTTCCCGGAGTTGGAAACGTAACTTTGTTTCCAATACTTCCTAGAAGAATTTTTTTTTTTGGCTGGGGAGGGAGAAGGTAGCAAGTCATTTTCTTTATATATTCGTGCATGCTTAAAAAAAAGTTTTTTTTTTTCCTGTTATCTGTATTCTTAGTAGTGTACCCAAGTTTCTGATTGGCATTCGTTCACCGTTCTTCCCCAAGTTAACTGAAACAGTCATGGATCGACATAGCATAATAATAATAATAAATAGTAATAATGGGCTGTGGTTGACTCGGCCAAGGTCCTCACCAACTCAGTGAAAGTTGAGGAGGCACCATTTTGCACTTCAAGGACGAACACAGCCGGTCGCCTACGCCTCTGCAGGTGCCAATGGTCACGCCAGTGTCGGAATGCCAAGCAATGGCTGGCTTACTTAAAAGGGGAGTTGCTGCTGCGCGCCCAGGAGAGAGGCTTCCGATGCGCTCTCAGGTCTACGTTTCCCGGTGGGTAGCAGAAACGCAGCCAAGGCTAGGTAACACTAGACGCACGCTAGCCTCCCCATACCTCCGTCACCTTTAATGACCTTCTTGAGTACACAGCACCGGCGGTGTCTCCGCTTGTTCCCTAATCCCTCCCCGAACTCCTTCCCAGCCCCGCAGCTCGACAGGAGACACCTCACACTTGAGGTTTGGCGTCCTAAGAAAGCAACCCGGTTGCAGCGAAGGCCGGGAGCGGGGAGGAGCGCGCATCCTCCGTAGGGAGGCGGAGGCCGCCGGGTCGGCGCACGTCGGCCAATCGGAGCGCACACCGCCTGATAAGTGTCCAATCAGGGGGCGCGGAGCTCGGGGGACCAGGGAGGATAATACCAGCCAGGGACCCGGAGGTTGGAGACTGCGGCCAGGGGCGCTCCGCTGCGCGCGGCTGCTGGCGCCCGCCCGGGCACCCGTGCACCCCGGGAACTCGGAGCTAAAGCCCCTCACCTTTTCTCGCGCAGCTCGGGGCGGAGGAAGCAGAAAGCGTCCTAGGAGAAGTGAAGCCGCTCGAGGCCGCAGAGGACCAGAAAAAGAAAAAACAAAAAACTCTGAAGAGCTTGGCGTGTGTGTGTGGGGGGGTTAAGGTCGCTAAGAGGCTAACTCGCCGAACTCCCCTAGCGTCCCCAGTGCAGGGGGTGGGACTCCGGCTCTCCAGCCGCTCTGCCTGGATTTCGTGACGGGAGTGGCCACCCCGGTTTTCCTGTTGGCCTGCAAAGCCAGCAACACCAGAGCCAGAACCCAGAGCTGGGTATCCATTGACGCTGCAGCTTCGGGCCGGGCTGCGAAGTCTTCGGTGAGTTCTGCTGCTGCCCAAGGCGGGTGGGTGGCAGAGAGGGGGGTGTTTCCGGGAGGGTAAAAGGCAGAAATCTCTTTTGCTTACTGATTTTTTTTTTTTTTTTTTTTTTTTTGCTTCGATGCTCTTTATAAAGCTGTCAGCCTCAGATCCCGCCCGGGGCTGCGCAGCTCTGTGCGTGCAAGTACGGTTGAGGCTGCCCTGGCCTCTGCAGCATCAGGGCCAGTGTCCCCGTCCCCACCCCCCAACGCCAGTGACAGCTGTGGTTTTCAATGAGTTTAGGGGAGCTGGTGTGTGATGGGTGAGTTAACCAGGCAGTCGTCCGGAAAGCCTGGGCAAGCCCTTAGAGGGCTGCGTTAAAAAAATCCATCTTGGAGTTGGGTCCCTGGGGATTTTGATTTACAAGTGAGGCACGTGTGGCCTGCACCTAAGGGGACATGGCGAGTATAAAGGGTAACTCGAGGGAGCAGGCAGAGCAGCAGCTCTGAGTCCAAAGCTCAGCAACGGTCTCAGACAGGTGTCCTCTTCAGACTGCGGGCCACTGACCGGCCAGCCGGAGCCAGGCAATCGCGTACGATGGCTGACCAGCAGGCAGGCCTGGCTGCCGGGGACTGGGAGATCGATGTGGAGGGCCTGGAGCTGGAGCCTCCCGGACCTAGCCCGCCGCCGGCAGACCGCGACTGCGACGATGACGAGGGAGAAGAAGAGGCGGAGGAAGAAGAGGTGGAGGAAGAGGGTGACAGCGAGGAGGCGGCCACGTCCCCGAGGGTCCCGGGCAGACGGGAGCCGCAGGGAAGCCAGCTGACCGGGCCTGCGCCCGCGTCCCAGGTCTTGCCAACCGCAGCGGGGATCTCGGAGCGCGCGGCGAGCGTGGGCGGCGGCGAACCCCGCAAGCTGAGCCGCACCCCCAAGTGCGCGCGCTGCCGCAACCACGGCGTGGTGTCGTGCCTCAAGGGCCACAAGCGCTTCTGCCGCTGGCGCGACTGCCAGTGCGCCAACTGTCTGCTGGTGGTGGAGCGCCAGCGCGTCATGGCCGCCCAGGTGGCGCTCCGGAGACAACAGGCCACCGAGGTGCGTAACCAACCGGCTAAACCCCGGGGTGGTCAGGGAGCGGGCGCAGGGCCTGGCGATGGCACGGAAAGGTACTCTGGGCCCTTCTCCAGTCACCCCGGCTTCCACGGTCGGGTAGAGGAGAGAGCCACGGGTGGAGCTAGGAGAATTCAGCAGAAAAGGTTTTCTGTTTAAAAAGAGTGCGTGCGCCAAAGTGCGATGGGGCAAGTGGCTTCTTTCTGCTTTCCAAATCCTGAGCTTGATTTTTGTGATGTCTGGGGTTTGGAGGAGGACGGGGCTGGCCCCGGCGCTGAGCACGCGAGGAAGATGACTCGAGCTGGGGTCATTTTCGGGGAGGAGACGGTGCGTGCGCGCAGGTGCCAGCGCCCAGGCCGAGGCTGCGCTCCCGAAGCTGTGGCAAGTGCGGATGCCCCGGAGGTGGAGAAGGGTCCTCGGCTGTCCTTCCTCCCTCGGGGCTCCAGCTGCGAGGACTTTCGCGAGGAGGGGGCTTCTGAAAGGTCCAAATTTGTCCTTCACCAACGTCCCTGCACATAGAAAGCCGCCTTGAGGCTTGTCAGGGCCTCCTCGCGGACTCCGGGGCGTTAGGCACGGGCGGTCCCACCTTTAGTTTCCCCCTAGTATTCCAGGAGCGCGTTCTGGTGAATACCGGGTTGGAATCCGCTCAGCCTAGTAGTGACAGCCGGAGTCCCCTTGTCCTGCGTTCCTGGAGACCATGAACCATTCTGGCTTCCTCGGTGTGCCCCAGACGCGTATAGCGAATAATCTGCAGTTTGCAGCCCGGAAGCTGGTAATCTTCCCCTAAGTAGGCGGACGGGCTGCGACCAGGAACCCGCCCAGAACCGCATCCGCATCCGCGCACGTTTGCCGTGCGCCTCAGTTTTCTGGATGTCCGCTCGCTCCTGCCCAGAGACCCTCTGGGCGAGTCTGGCTGACTCCTCCAAGAAAAGCCAGGCAGATTCAGGGGGTCCCCAACAGCTCGCCCACCCGACAGGAAGGGAGACGTTTATTCGCATGTAGCTTTCACAAGGGATGAGCGAAACGAGTGCATTCAAAGCGGGAAGAGATTTCGGATGACCTGCGGGCGCCTCCTCTCTCCTTTTCCTTCAAGGCATTATTGATTATGTTTCCTCACATTTCTAGGACAAAAAGGGGCTTTCTGGGAAACAGAATACCTTCGAGCGCAAAGCGGTGTACCAGAGGCAAGTCAGGACACCCAGCCTGCTGGCTAAAAGCATTTTGGAAGGTAAAGCGACGCAAAATTGATCATTTTTTTAAATGCCTGTTCTCGTGTTAACTCTTTTGAGACTGCCACATTTTTTTTTAAATTAATGTTTTTCTCATCATTGGAGGTCAAGAGCAAGGAAAATGAGGCTCACACGCCTGCTAAGTTTTTTTCTTTTCTTTTTGTCACTATGAGTTTGAATCTTCATCTTTTTGTGGTCTGAGTGAACTTGAAGTGATGTGAAATTTGTCCCCGTACCCAATAGACAGCCACGGCAGCCCAGAGCAGCTGTCCCCGACAACAACCCTCTCTCGGCAAAACCACTCACGCTTTGCTTAGCCGTTGGCAAGAGCTAAGCCAGCGGTCCAACAGCTGCTGTTGGCCGATTAAGAGCCCTTCTGGGGTGTTCAACCTCAGAGCCCTCCTCTTGCTCACGGTGCTGTTTTTCCTTAGTGCATCATCTAGATTATTGCTGTTTTTATACTCTTCATTTTGCTGTTTTTTTTTTTTTTGACGTGTCATGCCTGTAGCAACCCAAAATGCTTTTAAATGCACGGGGAGGTTAAAGATGAATGGTGTGACGTCTGTCTTCCTGTAATCTGTTTCTTGACTTTGCCTGATAATGTACTGATGACCTTTTGCTATTTTCTTTGCATTTCAATACCCTTTCTATTTGCTGTCATCACTGTTAGTTCCCGAAGGTCAGCCAAAAAAGTACATTTTAAAAGAAAAGTTAGATTTTTAACTTGTTTGATTCTGGATAAGTTTTAAAGTGTATTTGGGTCTCCCCTGTACTGTCCACTTCTGATTCTACGGTTGTTTTTCCTGAATTAAAAATTAAGTTGGCTACAAACCGATAAACACACTTATAACCATAAATGGAGATTGTACCAAAACAAAACAAAACAAAACAAAAAAAATCAATTTGGGAAGGGCAAGGACCAAATGAAATTTAAAAGCAAGTAGATAACTTCCTGGCCAAAACTTTTATCACAGAAACAGAAACGTTAATTTCCAAATCTTATTTTATCGGCCGATGAGTAGGATGCGTTTGTCACTCTAGAAACGCAAGTATAGCAGTGAGTCCTTGAAACATTTCGCATAGTTGATGGGTGCTGGCGTATGATGAGATAAAATACTCCAAGTATTTTATACTGCCAGGAATTCTTTTTTTAGGTTACACCAGTCTTTTTTTTTTTTTAATTTTTTTATTACTTTTTTTTTTTTTAATTGTTGTTAACATTGGCAGTCTTTGCATTTGGTTTTCTTCCGACTCATGGAAAGTGCAAAAGACTTAACTGTGCTGTAGCGATCGCCAGTCAGCCGTGTTGGCATTTGGCCCACCTGGTTAGAGCTTGGAAAAAAAAATGGGTTAGAGTGATGGTTTTTGGTGCAGCGGGCAGTATGGCCTCTCTGGTGTGTTTGTAGCAGTGGTCGGGGAGGGGCCTGCTTGAACTGTGCTCTGTAGAGTGTGGTTGATGCCTTCACAACTTTTTGTCGTTTTCTGTACTTCCCTGTTTCCTTCATCCTTTTTTTCCCCCCTTTTTCTCCTTGCTAATCTTCTTTAACTCTCTTTCTCTTTTTTCCCCCTAGTTCTCCTTGGATTATTCTACAACTATAATAATGAACCGTCTTTAGGAAATAAAAGTGACATCAGTTCTAGGTATAGATATCTTTTTTTTTTTAATAATAAGAAAGATGACTTGGAAAATAAAACATTTTGATTGGCCTAAGATAAACAAGCCTGAATGTATACGGGGGACCTGAGAACGAATGTTAAAATATTAAAATATTAAAATATGAAAATGCCAGTTAATAAAATACCCCCCGACCAAAGCACGCTGTGAAACAAACCAGTAGCAACAAAAGTGACACTCACAAAGTTCGACCGCGGATACTCAGCTTCCCGAAGGAATATGTTTCTGATTTGGGCCTACGCTTTTGTTTTCTGTATGTAAATGTTAATCAGATAGGAGTTTCTGGTACCTTCTGCCGTTCCAGGTCATTCTGCCCCAGACGCTGATGTCTTTTTCCCCCGTGTTTGCTCATTTTTAGGTTACCGTCCCATTGCCACGGAGACTTACCTGGGAGCAAGCTTACCGCTGCCTCCCCCTGTTAGTGACAGGATGAGGAAGAGAAGGGCCTTTGCCGATAAGGAGTTGGAGAGCATCATGCTGGAGAGGGAATATAAAGAGAGAGAGCTATTGGAAACGTCCCATGCCGCTGCCTTGTTCCTGCCCCACCGCGTGATGCCTGGGCCGGAGTACAGCTCCCACAAGGGTGCCTACAGCCCCGCCCCAGTGGACTCAGCGGGCAAAGACTTTTGCAGCTTTCTACCCACCTGCCTCGATCTAACCATGCAGTATTCAGGCTCTGGCAATATGGAACTTATTTCTTCTAACGTAAGTGTGGCTACTACCACATACAGGCAGTATCCCCTGTCTTCGAGGTTTTTAGTTTGGCCCAAGTGTGGCCCCATTAGCGACACCCTCCTATACCAGCAGTGCCTGCTAAATGCCACCGCTTCGGTCCAAGCCCTGAAACCCGGGCTCGCCTGGGACTTCAAGGGGACCCGTGTGCAAGACGAACATGGTGTAGAACATGATATTCTGCCGCCCAAACTGGAAGGTTCCCTGCTGCTGCCGCCCATGCCCGAGTTGCAGAGCGGCCGGAGTGGCCTTCAGAGTCACCAGGCCATCCCGGAGAGGTCTGCCTTCTCCCCACCCCGACGGAATTTCTCTCCCGTGGTTGACTCGGACTCGCTGGTGACTCAAGGGCATGTCTTAACCAAGATCAGCAAAGAAAACAGCAGGCACCTTGTGCCACCTAAACATAATCCATTCCACTCCTTCTTGCAACAGACGCTCCATGACAAATCAGGGCCCGGGTCAACGAAAACCCCATTTGTCAAAGAGGCCCTTGATGAGACCCCAAAGAAGCACAGCGAGTGTTTAGTTAGCGAGAACGCAAAGTACACATTTACAGTAGACAGATGCGCTAAGGACCTTCTTGTAGCCAAACAAGTTGGAACAAAACTCGCGGCCAACGAGCCCCTGTCATTTTCTGTTGAATCTATTCTAAAAAGGCCTGCGTCTGCCATCACTCATGTTTCCCAGTAATAAATTGCTAAATGGAAAGCTGGATTTTCTACAGTCTTGCTGTTTGCTATCATTATTATTATTATTTTTAAAGTTACGATGTTTGTATAGAGAAATTTCTAACATAAACGATGACTTCTAGAAATTCTATCTATTCCTCTGCATGTCCCTTTTCTTATCCTGTAAATATATTTAAGCCTAAACGTGCAAGTTTGCCTGATGTGCAGATTGTGGAGTTCGATGCTTTACGTGGCATTTCAAGAAGCAATAAAGTCGAAACTGTTTCCTAAGAGACACGGTATTTGCTGAAGCAGAAAGCTGTTTGTCCACATAGAAAAAGCTGGTCTCTATGAAATCTGTTCTTTATTTTTCTGTGAGTCTGGGCATGTTTTTCAGGTGCTCTTATAGGTCCCAGGAGAACATCTCAAATGTTTAGATTTTGTACTACATTGAGCCGCTGAAAATCTAAGGCGAGAATAGCTCAAGAAGGACGTAGGGTTATTTGCGTGTCCATTGTACCATACTCTCACAACTGGACAGAATTGTATTCATTTGAAAGAAAGTCAAGTGTAATATTTGGTTAGTGATACGAGCTCTAAGTAAGGATGGACTTTTAAAATCTCCTTGGGTCCTAGTTTCTTTCTGGGGTGGGTAGCGTGTGTGGGGGTCCCCAGGCCGTGTTTCTTTGCAAAGAGTATGGCTTTGCTCCTGGATGATGAATTCTTTTAGACATTCTAGGATTTTAGGTTCCTGGGAGCCACAGAGCAGGTTTCTTCATAAGGTATAGTTAGTCTGGCCCTGGATGATGCTAACTCCCATCTTAGGTTAGGACTGGTGACAGCAGGGCTGCAGCTGCAGGCCCGGGCTCTCCTCTCAGCTGGTGGTTGAGTCTCTATCTTTGCAGCAAAACCCTTCAGTACCACTGTCTTGTTGACTTAACATTTAGCTTTCGAATTGTTCCAACTGACCGTTGATGAAGGTTGCAAATGTTTATCCCCACTTCCTGATTTTTTTAAAAATACCTTTTATGAAATGTAGAAGATACCTAGTATACCTGTGTCTGAGTTTTCATAAACTTAAATCTTTTTAGAAAATATTTAGATTGTTTTTATTGGAAAGTCAGATAGATATACAGAGAGGAGGAGAGACAGAGAGGAAGATCTTCCATCCAATGATACACTCACAAAGTGGCTGCACCGGCCAGAGCTGAGCCGATCTGAAGCCAGGAGCCAGGAGCCTCTTCCGGGTCTCCCACGTGGGTACAGGAACCCAAGCTTTGGGCCGTCCTCGACTGCTTTGCCAGGCCACAAGCAGAGAGCTGATGAGAAGTGGGGCTGCCAGGATTAGAACTGGTGCCCATATGGGATCCTGGGGTGTGCAAGGCGAGGACTTTAACCACTACGCCATTGTGCCGGGCCCTAGCTCTGATTCTTGCACACACCAGTGGGTCTGTGAATATCAGGCCTGGCACTATGGCCTAGCATTTAAAGTCCTTGCCTTGAACGCACTGGGATCCCATATGTGCACCGGTTCTAACCCTGGCAGCCCCGCTTCCCATCCAGCTCCCTGCTTGTGGCCTGGGAAAGCAGTGGAGTACGACCCAAAGCTTTGGGGCCCTGCACCCGCATGGGAGACCCGGAAGAAGCTTCTGACTTCTGGCTTAGGATCGGCTCAGCTTTGGCCATTGTGGCCACTCAGGCTGTCTTAGGAAAGTACCTGAGGTGTTGTAAAGCTGTGAATGCCAACTCATGCCATTTTCTCTTTCGTTACAGTTCCTGAAGAGACACGAGGGGAGTGGCATAGACAAATTTGGCTCTTTGTAACAAGGCAGTGAACCAGTGTATTATTATTATTTTTTTATGTTAGGGATTTTAGGATGGGTGACAGTAAAATGAAGGGCATTTGTTACTGTTTGAAATCTTTCTTTCAAAAGATATTGAATAACAAATCAATGTCAACTCCAAGAAATGTCTTCAGCATTGCGATGGATGGATCCTCACACTTTGGACCATACCCTGCAGGCAAATGAAGCCATAAAGGTATCTAATCACGCATTAGATGACATTAAGTTGGAAGCTCTGGCCAGCATTGTAATGCTAGAAGTGGTCTAGTCTGGAACCGCCAATCGAAGGGAGAATCCTAAGAAGAGTTGTCAAAGCATTAAACTTGATGCCCAGTGAGACTTAAGGTTAGTTTATGCGAAAATCTGGGGTTCATAATGATCTCGTGGAGTCACGGGGAAATATACAGCTCAGAAGAAATCGAGAATGAATGACGACTCTCAGAAATTTCAAATAGGAACTTGCATTCCATTAATACAGGCTCCGGATCAAAAGAAACACTATTGTTCATTTAGCCCTAGCAGACTTTGCCCAGTTCTGAGCGTTGTTTTTTTTTTCAGTGCGGACACTGATGCCCTTCGTGATGGAGATGGTGAAAAGAAAGTAAGACTTGCCTAAAGATACAGTTAAGGATTTTGGGAGGATGCTATCTCGAGAAGACATAAAGAAAAAGGGCTTGACTTGTGTCTATATATTTAAAACTTTGCCACTTCGATGAAGGAAGGACAGTCCCTTGGGAGTCGGGAAGATACATTTAGGACTTAAAGTTAACTTTCCAAACACACACCAACCACTTAATCAGTGAATTCGTGCAATTTAATTAGATGAAGATAATTGTCTGTAGGATCATATATACTGAATCCTGCAAATGGCTTCACCTTTGGCTCAGCCAATTGAATATCTAATCCATTTGGATGGAAAACGATAGGGTTACAAAACCAAAGCAGACGCAACTGAGCCGATTAAATTAGATAAAGCCTGGCTCTGTTGAAGCACAGGGAAGCTGCACTTCCGTTTTTAGTTACAGCTGTTTAGGTAAGTCTGTGAAACGGAGTCTTCAGATTGAAGTTACCGCTTTCCATGAATTCAACCAAGATTTATCACCATCAGGCACCTACTGTGGGTGGACTGGGCAATGCCGAACTCTGAAAGGCAGTGACAACTGAGACACAGCTTTCCAACATCTATATTGGAGTCACGCCGTAGCTACTTCTGGTCTTTTCAGGCCTGGGTCTCTGGGATGTTACACAGCTGTGCTTCATTCTTTCTGAGTCTTTTTAAAAATGAAACTTGTAGATTGAGAAATTGCCTGCTGCAGGCCAGTGGGTTTAGCTTCAGCTGCCCCAGGTGGTTACACAACTCCAGGAGGTTGATGACAGTTTCTTCGATGGAGACACTAGCCCCAAAGCACCTCAACACTTGCCGTGGTGAAAAATAATGAAAGAAATGTTTTTTAGAAATCAACTCGTATTCGTTTTCCGACAACCTTCTCTTCATTTTACTTGAGAGGTGGTAGAAGAGCTGCTTCAGCTCACTCAGGGCTTGTGCCAATCTGTTCCCTGAGCCGAGCAGCGGGAGTTGGGGCTCACACTTTAGGAGCGAGCTGAGCGCTCCAGTCTTTGATGATGGGAACCTGATGAGCAAGCGCCAACACCTGTGCCTTCAGAGGAGCCCGAACCTCAGGCTGAGCAGCAGTCAACTCAGAGGCTGGCGTGGTCCACTCCTGCTGGAATTCCTTCTTGGTTGCAGCGCTGTCAGCAGCATTCTGCTGTCCCTTTTTCATCACCTCGGGACTCTGTGGAAGCCGAGATGACGTCTGTCCTCCCATGGTGTTCCTGGGACATGGCGTCACGCATGGTGAAGAACTTTCCACGCTAACATCCACCACTGAGTGGGCTCTCTTGTTACCCAGGAGGGCAATGTCTGTGTAGCACCATATATATATATAGTGATAATATGTATCTGTAGGAAGGCTTTCGATTTTTCCCTTGGGATGCAAAGCATTACCTCACAAAACAAAACAAAAATCCAGATAGGAGCTGATAAATTGAGAAGCAGGGGGAATCCCACATCTGCCTGTACTCAACTTTAAAACACAGAACCCACGCAACTTTCACTTCTTATCTCGCTTATCCCTAAGCTCAGCAATAAACTAGCACTCTCCGGTTAAAAAAGTCAAGGTCCCAGCTGTAGCATCTCGGCGCTTCCACACGTGTATTTCAAGCAGAGCGCATCGCCGTCAATCACCACGGCAGCCCGCCCCCTCGAGGCAAAGGGCGGCTCCCATTGGCTGGCGGGCGCGGGCGGGAAGGAGGCTCTCGCTGTGGAGCGGCGCCGGCCTCTGCCCACCGCCTGCCTCAGGACGTGGAGCCCGGTAGGTCCAGGATGCGAACCGCGGAGGACACATCTCCAGGTTCTGGGTTCCCTCCCGGCCTTGCGGGTGGTGTGATCCAGGGGGAGGGACTTGGGGTGGCCAGGAGTGGCTGGACCGGGGGACGGGGGTTGGGTGGCTGGACAGTGCATCCGGGGGTCCCACAGCAGGTGGCAGGGGCCTAAGCACCAAGGTGTTCTTCTGCCTTCTTAGGAACATTATCAGGGAGCTGGAGCGGAGGTGGAGCACCCGGGACTTGAACTGGCACCTTTGCAGTGGGCAATTTCACATCCCCCATGTTGGCCCCCAGTCGGCTTTTTGCCATTGGCTGTTCCGTCTCAGGAGTCAGAAAGATAATTTTGCTTGCTATGTGACGGCTTTTCAATAGTTTAGTATGGGAACGGGGTTGGGGGGTGGGGGAAGAGCTAAAGAAAAAGTACTAATTGACATAAAAATACGGTCCAAATCTCAGTAAAAAACAAAACAAAAAGCAAAACCAAAATAAAAACAAAAAACCCACCTTTGTTGTGAAGCTTATTTTACACCAAAAGTCAAATTGTGGCAAATCCACAGAATTATAAGTGTCCAAATGTCAGCCAACCAAAACTCTTGAGAGTCCCCGAATACCTTTAAGACTTAGTAGTGGGGGGCAGGCCTTGTGATGGGAGGTGCCTGCATCCTTGTGGGTGCGGTGGTTTGAGTCCCAGCTGCTCCGTGTTGCGGACTCAGCTTCTTGCTGCTGTGTGCTGGGAAGGGGCTCGGGCCTCCACCATCCGTGTGGGACACCTGCATGGAGTTTTCAGTTCTGG